GCTTCGTTGGACAACGCAAACGAGTTGCGCGCAAGAGAGCTCGCATCTGTGTTACGAGCGACTCCAGCACGCGACCGTGTCGAACGCCGATCCTTGAAAAGGATCGACGACACGCTTCGCAATGCGACCAAAGTCGTCGAGAGCACAGCAAAGTACGATATAACGTAACTTTGAGTGCAATTTTTCGCTATACAATTGCTCGTCGTCGAGCAGTCACAACTAATTCATAGCTACAACATACCCACGACGAGTCACGGCGATCTCCGCTGCCCGTATTATACTAGACGGAGATACACCATGGATGTTATCGTTCAAATTCAACAGACTCTCGTGTTAATTTAGTAAAATGCTACCCGACGTTAGACAAAAATGCCAAGTCGTCGTGGTCAGCGACATTTCATCACCATTCGCGTGGAAATGACGTGCAAAAGTTTGTTCTCGCTCGGAATCGAGTGAGTCGATGCTCGGTATTTATCGACGATTCAATGAAGAATCGACGAACTCGTAACGACTACGGCGCCTACCGCATAAGGGCCATTCGGTCAGAGACACCGACACGCGGTAATGCAGTGGATGACAACGATGGAGAGCATACCCAAGACGATTACATCGACTCGAGCACCTCTCTTACATATACCGAAAGGGCAGCCGAGGCATCGGCGCCGAATGGTCTTGAGCATTGTTTTATATGGGCAAAAACCTCATCGAAAGCGCGGATCCTCCGAAGCTTCTTCGAACATGACAACCTTTCGAGGCAGGGACTTGCCGGATTTACGAGTGACTCGCCGCGCACGACGTTTCGAGCCAGGGACTTGCCGGATTTGCAAGTTAGTCGCCGCGCACGACGTTTCGAGCCAGGGACTTGCCGGATTTACGAGTGATTCGCCGCGCACGACATTTCGAGCCAGGGGATTGCTAGTTTTACGAGTGACTCGCCGCGCACGACGTTTCGAGCGATGGGATTGCTAGTTTTACGAGTGACTCGCCGCGCACGACGTTTCGAGGCAAGGACTTGCCGGATTTACGAGTGACTCGCCGCGCACGACGTTTCGAGCCAGGGGATTGCTAGTTTTACGAGTGACTCGCCGCGCACGACGTTTCGAGCCAGGAACTTGCCGGATTTACGAGTGACTCGCCGCGCACGACGTTTCGAGGTAGGGACTTGCCGGATTTGCAAGTTACTCGCCGCGCACGACGTTTCGAGCCAGGGGATTGCTAGATTTACAAGTTAGTCGCCGCGCACGACGTTTCGAGCCAGGGGATTGCTAGTTTTACGAGTGACTCGCCGCGCACGACGTTTCGAGCCAGGGACTTGCCGGATTTACGAGTGACTCGCCGCGCACGACGTTTCGAGGTAGGGACTTGCCGGATTTGCAAGTTACTCGCCGCGCACGACGTTTCGAGCCAGGGGATTGCTAGATTTACAAGTTAGTCGCCGCGCACGACGTTTCGAGCGAGGGGATTGCTAGTTTCACGAGTGACTCGCCGCGCACGACGTTTCGAGCCAGGGGATTGCTAGATTTACAAGTGACTCGCCGCACACGACGTTTCGAGCCAGGGACTTGCCGGATTTACGAGTGACTCGCCGCGCCCGACGTTTCGAGCCAGGGGATTGCTAGATTTACAAGTGACTCGCCGCGCACGACGTTTCGAGCCAGGGACTTGCCGGATTTGCAAGTTAGTCGCCGCGCACGACGTTTCGAGCCAGGGACTTGCTGGATTTACAAGTGACTCGCCGCGCACGACGTTTCGAGCCAGGGGATTGCTAGTTTTACAAGTGACTCGCCGCGCACGACGTTTCGAGCGATGGGATTGCTAGTTTTACGAGTGACTCGCCGCGCACGACGTTTCGAGGCAAGGACTTGCCGGATTTACGAGTGACTCGCCGCGCACGACGTTTCGAGCCAGGGGATTGCTAGTTTTACGAGTGACTCGCCGCGCACGACGTTTCGAGCCAGGGACTTGCCGGATTTACGAGTGACTCGCCGCGCACGACGTTTCGAGGTAGGGACTTGCCGGATTTGCAAGTTACTCGCCGCGCACGACGTTTCGAGCCAGGGGATTGCTAGATTTACAAGTTAGTCGCCGCGCACGACGTTTCGAGCCAGGGGATTGCTAGTTTTACGAGTGACTCGCCGCGCACGACGTTTCGAGCCAGGGACTTGCCGGATTTACGAGTGACTCGCCGCGCACGACGTTTCGAGGTAGGGACTTGCCGGATTTGCAAGTTACTCGCCGCGCACGACGTTTCGAGCCAGGGGATTGCTAGATTTACAAGTTAGTCGCCGCGCACGACGTTTCGAGCGAGGGGATTGCTAGTTTCACGAGTGACTCGCCGCGCACGACGTTTCGAGCCAGGGGATTGCTAGATTTACAAGTGACTCGCCGCACACGACGTTTCGAGCCAGGGACTTGCCGGATTTACGAGTGACTCGCCGCGCCCGACGTTTCGAGCCAGGGGATTGCTAGATTTACAAGTGACTCGCCGCGCACGACGTTTCGAGCCAGGGACTTGCCGGATTTGCAAGTTAGTCGCCGCGCACGACGTTTCGAGCCAGGGACTTGCTGGATTTACAAGTGACTCGCCGCGCACGACGTTTCGAGCCAGGGGATTGCTAGTTTTACAAGTGACTCGCCGCGCACGACGTTTCGAGCCAGGGACTTGCCGGATTTGCAAGTTAGTCGCCGCGCACGACGTTTCGAGCCAGGGACTTGCCGGATTTACGAGTGATTCGCCGCGTACGACATTTCGAGCCAGGGGATTGCTAGTTTTACGAGTGACTCGCCGCGCACGACGTTTCGAGCCAGGGACTTGCCGGATTTACGAGTGACTCGCCGCGCACGACGTTTCGAGGTAGGGACTTGCCGGATTTGCAAGTTACTCGCCGCGCACGACGTTTCGAGCCAGGGGATTGCTAGATTTACAAGTTAGTCGCCGCGCACGACGTTTCGAGCGAGGGGATTGCTAGTTTCACGAGTGACTCGCCGCGCACGACGTTTCGAGCGATGGGATTGCTAGTTTTACGAGTGACTCGCCGCGCACGACGTTTCGAGGCAAGGACTTGCCGGATTTACGAGTGACTCGCCGCGCCCGACGTTTCGAGCCAGGGGATTGCTAGATTTACAAGTGACTCGCCGCGCACGACGTTTCGAGCCAGGGACTTGCCGGATTTGCAAGTTAGTCGCCGCGCACGACGTTTCGAGCCAGGGACTTGCTGGATTTACAAGTGACTCGCCGCGCACGACGTTTCGAGCCAGGGGATTGCTAGTTTTACAAGTGACTCGCCGCGCACGACGTTTCGAGCCAGGGACTTGCCGGATTTGCAAGTTATTCGCCGCGCACGATGTTTCAGGCCAGGGACTTGCTGTATTCACAAGTGACTCGCCGCGCACGACGTTTCGAGCCAGGGGATTGCTAGTTTTACAAGTGACTCGCCGCGCACGACGTTTCGAGCCAGGGACTTGCCGGATTTGCAAGTTAGTCGCCGCGCACGACGTTTCGAGCCAGGGACTTGCTGGATTTACAAGTGACTCGCCGCGCACGACGTTTCTAGCCAGGGGATTGCTAGATTTACAAGTGACTTGCCGCGCACGACGTTTCAAGCCAGGGACTTGCCGGATTTACGAGTGATTCGCCGCGCACGACATTTCGAGCCAGGGGATTGCTAGTTTTACGAGTGACTCGCCGCGCACGACGTTTCGAGCGATGGGATTGCTAGTTTTACGAGTGACTCGCCGCGCACGACGTTTCGAGGCAAGGACTTGCCGGATTTACGAGTGACTCGCCGCGCACGACGTTTCGAGCCAGGGGATTGCTAGTTTTACGAGTGACTCGCCGCGCACGACGTTTCGAGCCAGGGACTTGCCGGATTTACGAGTGACTCGCCGCGCACGACGTTTCGAGGTAGGGACTTGCCGGATTTGCAAGTTACTCGCCGCGCACGATGTTTCGAGCCAGGGGATTGCTAGATTTACAAGTTAGTCGCCGCGCACGACGTTTCGAGCCAGGGGATTGCTAGTTTTACGAGTGACTCGCCGCGCACGACGTTTCGAGCCAGGGACTTGCCGGATTTACGAGTGACTCGCCGCGCACGACGTTTCGAGGTAGGGACTTGCCGGATTTGCAAGTTACTCGCCGCGCACGACGTTTCGAGCCAGGGGATTGCTAGATTTACAAGTTAGTCGCCGCGCACGACGTTTCGAGCGAGGGGATTGCTAGTTTCACGAGTGACTCGCCGCGCACGACGTTTCGAGCCAGGGGATTGCTAGATTTACAAGTGACTCGCCGCACACGACGTTTCGAGCCAGGGACTTGCCGGATTTACGAGTGACTCGCCGCGCCCGACGTTTCGAGCCAGGGGATTGCTAGATTTACAAGTGACTCGCCGCGCACGACGTTTCGAGCCAGGGACTTGCCGGATTTGCAAGTTAGTCGCCGCGCACGACGTTTCGAGCCAGGGACTTGCTGGATTTACAAGTGACTCCCCGCGCACGACGTTTCGAGCCAGGGGATTGCTAGTTTTACAAGTGACTCGCCGCGCACGACGTTTCGAGCCAGGGACTTGCCGGATTTGCAAGTTAGTCGCCGCGCACGACGTTTCGAGCCAGGGACTTGCCGGATTTACGAGTGATTCGCCGCGTACGACATTTCGAGCCAGGGGATTGCTAGTTTTACGAGTGACTCGCCGCGCACGACGTTTCGAGCGATGGGATTGCTAGTTTTACGAGTGACTCGCCGCGCACGACGTTTCGAGGCAAGGACTTGCCGGATTTACGAGTGACTCGCCGCGCACGACGTTTCGAGCCAGGGGATTGCTAGTTTTACGAGTGACTCGCCGCGCACGACGTTTCGAGCCAGGGACTTGCCGGATTTACGAGTGACTCGCCGCGCACGACGTTTCGAGGTAGGGACTTGCCGGATTTGCAAGTTACTCGCCGCGCACGACGTTTCGAGCCAGGGGATTGCTAGATTTACAAGTTAGTCGCCGCGCACGACGTTT